AAAAAGACAGTGTAGAGACAGAGAGAGAGAGAGAGCTATGCTACAGACGGGGTTATAGGTTTAACTGATGAGTAGTACACTATTGAAAAATTCTCTACAGACATTAGGGTTGTGGGAGAAAATGAATTTTGAAATGAACTCGATTAATTGCACTATCTACTTATCAAATATGAAGAGGGTAATGTCAACCACACAGTTATATAATATTCTCAAAATAAAAGGACAAACACATTTAGTAGTATATTTAAAAGTATTTTTAGAAAACCAATTAAGTAGTTAAAAAAAATTTTTATATATATTCGTATGCATGCAATTACGCCCAACCACTTGAATACAACTGAGACTACATTAAAACTATTTTTTGTAAACACTATTAGGTTCTTTTGGATATTATTATAATGAAATTTTGAATACAAAATTAGATATTTTAGAAAAATTCATCAATTTGAAGACACATATGTATATATACACATAAAAATATATACGAAAGGGCGAATTTTTATTTACATTTACCCTCAAGAAAATGCACGTTTCTCTGCCTTTTGACATAAACACAATACAAACTGCTGCTGTTTTTGTTTTTTTTTTTTGGGGGGCAACAATTTCAATTATAAATTTTACCTTAAAATTGCAAACGGACTGCTGAACGAATTTAAATTCGTTTTACTCTGTCAAAGTATATCAGGAGCAATAGACTAAAATTCGAGTAAATTTCTATATATTTACTTCTCAGGAATCGAAATGCTTGTTTATAAGTATAGCATACATTTAGGGGCTACCAAAACGTAGTATGCTTTGAACTACTCGTACTGGAGGTATTTATGTAGTAAAGAATTATGAATGTACGAAGGGGCCTCAATGGACGGTGGAAAAAAATTAATATAAATATATGTATGTGGTTTAACGCTGTGGATTTTGTACTTTGGTTTCATACGTTACAAACTTTCAGGTACCAAATATATGTTTGTTGTATATACTATTTAAATGTTTTTTTTTGTGCTTTATGCTATTTTTTGTTTTTGTTTTTTAATTACTTATAAATAGATGAGTTAGTACCTATGATATACTACTACACATACATATACATACAAATGTGTGTATGTAGGTATGTATTGCTCTTTTAATTGAGTGTAGACACCTAAGACTTTGCTGGCGTTGTAAGTAAATCTCTATATACTATATATATATATGTATGCATATGTAAATACCTAATACCTACACCTAAAACTAACACCTATACACACACACTCAATTAATTAAATATCGTAAATACTCTCTATACACTGTTGTATAAATATATTTTTTTTGTATATATATGCAATATTGATTTAATTATTTATATATAAATTTTTTTTTCGTATATATTAAGTATAAAAAACTCACATTTATAACTATAAATTGTACAAAAAAATTACAATTAATCATCTGTTAATTACTTTGCGACGACAAAAAATATCAAAGAAAAAAAATCATCTTAACTGCGTGTGCGGGCAAGTGTTGGGAAGCACTTTTGAAAGCACTTTGTGGAGTACTTTGGAAAGTACTTTCCCAAGCGCTACTTGTTTACATTATTAAATTCGTTTCTATTTTTATTAGTTCTTAATTACTTGCTTGCTATTTTCTTTTTTTTTACTATTTTACGCTCTAAGGTACAGTACAAATAGATCTTCATTTTTACTTTTGTTTCGCCATCTTTTCTATTTTTAAGTTTACTATATTTTTGATATTTATAGAAAAAAAGCGGTAATTTTTTTTTTTGGGAAAATATATATAGATATTGGGAAATTAAAGTGTTTTGTTAATTTTATTTTTATAGATTTCTTTTCAAGCATAGAGTGGAGTTTGAGGGGCGGAGGGAAGGGGAACGAAAGTATGGTTTTGAAATAAATTATTTGGAAAGAAGTGCATGTGTTTCTTGGAGTTTCTGTTTTAATCACTTTTAAATAAATGCAGTTTTTATTTATATTTTTTTTTAATCAAAATTCTGACTCTTTTTGATAATCAGTAAAAAGCTCAAAATCTGCAAAGATTCGGTTCACGGTTAGATACCGCAATATATCAGCTACAAAATTTGGTGTTTTCGAAAGAAAGGAAGATTGTTTTCTTAAAACCACCAAGAACATATATTGGGTTTTTTTTTTTAATTTTTAAACATCATATACTGTAAATTAAAACCGGAAATTAAAATCAGTTCTTTTATTGTATTTTTTATGATTAAAAATGATAAATTATGAATAAATAAAAATACTGAAATATATAATAATTAAGAAAATGTAAATAATTTATATGCACATATTAATATACATATTTCTGTTTTTATTTTAAATTGAAAAAGTTTTTAATTATGAATATATTTTTCGCAAAGTTCCTAGGTGCAGCATACGTAGATATGCTAATAAGTATAAGTAAACTTTTTTTTTAAAATTATTTGAAAATAGTTTCTAAACAAAACTAAAAATATTTTTTTTTCAGCTTTATTTTATATGCTCAAATAAATTTCATATTAAAAACAAAAATTCTGAATTTTCATTAATATTTTTTTTATAACTTAAAAAAAAATTATGGTAATGAAATAAACTATTTAATATTAACTTTAAAATAGTTTTGAGAAATAAATAAAGTACTGGAAAATTAAAAACAATTCCTCATAATTTTTTTTTGCTTATTTTTTTACCATTTTTTGTCTTTTTACTGTCTTTTTTCATCTCACTTAAACAATTAAATAATCAAATTTTCTAACAAATTTATTTTTTCGACGTAACTTTGTTTTCTTTGAAAGAAATTTTAAATTAGAAACTTTTAAATAAATTATTTTCGATAAAAAATAATTTTTTAATCAAATAAATATTAAACTAAAAATTTTTTGAATTAAATTTTCCAAAATTTTTTAAAATATCTAAAATATAGAAAGAAAAAAATTATTTTATATCTGAAAATTGCTTTCTTATATTTTTTGTAGGCTACATATTATTGTAGTTGACTTAAAAGTCTGCTAGTATATAATTTTCTCTATTAGGGTAGTTGAATCTAAAAATAGCTTTTTATTTAAAACTCTTTATGAAATTGAAAGATGAGTGCTCTTAAAAAAATTACAGATTTAAAAGTTAAAAATAACTAAATATTTATTTTAAACGAGAAATGAATAAAATATAGTAATAAAATAATGATATTTTTAAATTTTATTTTAATATATATGAACAAATATTTCTATATATAATTTGATATTTAAATAAAAACGTTCATATGTATTTTATTTAAATCAAATTTGTTTCATAAAAACATATATATTATATTTATAGACAAAATTATAATAATTTAGGAAATGAAAATTTTTCAAACATAAAATTCAGTAACATAAAAAGTGAAAAATTGAAAATATTACAACTGTTAAAGTCGATTCCTACATATACATCAGGAATTAAAAAAAAACTTTTTTTTCTGATATGTTTCGTAAATTATTAAAATTTTTGTACTTTTTCTGTACTAAATTTCTTTTATAATTTATTTGCTCTCTCATGAACTTTGATAAAATTTTTATATTAAAAAAATTTCAATTTTTAATTGTTTTCTAAAAGTCGCAGCTTCGGAAAGAAAATTTTAAAGTTTCACAAAAAACTCAATTTATTAAGAAAAAAAGAGTTGGTATAAATTAATACAATAAAATAAAGAAATTTCGAAAATCTTTGCAGTTAAAAAATATTTTATTTTAGCTATTTTTTTAACTTTATCCGCTAAGTTTAAATGGCAGAAAGTGTGAAAAATTCTTAAAACCTTTATCAAAATTATTTCAATAGCATTAAAAGAATTTTTTTAAATGTTTTAAACATTTTTGTTACTGGTCTTATTTTTTTAAATTTATTTTTTCAGTAATTTTTTTTGATTTAAATTTTGTTGATAATTTTATAACAAAGTAAAAGCCCTTTTTTCACAAAAATTTCAATACTAAAAAAATTAATATACAATTATAAAATTTTATAAAGAAGTATAACTATCATAAAAAATCTTCGTTATATCTTTTTTTAAATTTATTAATTTATTTTTATTATTTATTTTATTTTTTCATATCTTTTTTTTTTAATTGAGTGCTTTTAATTTTGCAGAAATTCTGATTTTTCAAAATTTTATTATCTTATTTTCGAAAATTTTATTTTACCATAAATTTTTAATTTTACCATACAACTTTTTCGTTTTTAACAAATCCAAAGTTTGAACTTTTGGTTAAAAAAAAAAAAATTGAGTTGGGAAGCATTCTACTTTTCTATTTTTCTGTGTTTTTATTTGAAATTATTTTTTTTCTATTTTTCTATTATTATTTTTTCTCGTTTTCTGGTAATTTAATTTCCTTTTTTAATTAATGTCTCATATACTTTATAGCATTTAAGAGGTTCTGTACCACCAAAGCTTTCATTCATTGCGCCTGAGCTTTTTACTGATTTTCATGAAAAATAAACTTTTTGAGCAAAAATTACGATTGAACTTTCAAATAATGCTTTCTTCTGAATTGTTTTTTTTTTTTTTGAGCGCATGTAAATAGCGTATTGAAAAGAAGAAACTGTGAGTTTTAAAGAATTGTTTGGACCTTAGAAAAGGAGTTTGGTATTTTTTTTTGTGTTTTGGATGGAACCCTGTGTGTATTTTTGTGTTTTTCTTTTTTTACATTTTAGGTTTAAATTTAATTGTTTTTTAGCTTGCTATGTGTATGTGCGTGTGTTGTGGGCTTGGCATGGGGGTATAGATTATTCGAATGTAATTATAGTAGTAGTTGTTGTTGTTGATTTTGATTGGTATTTGGTAGTAGTAGAAAGAGTAGTAGGTTAAATGTTGGCATTTCAAGAGGGTTAAGTGTGGGTGTATGAATTGTTTTTGTATTTTTGTTTTTTTGGTAATATAGGCTTTTTTGTAATTGTTGTTGTTTTTGAATATATTATTTGTGTGTATATTTTTTGTTGTTTTGTGTATTGTTTTGGTATTGTATTGCTTTTTTGTCGTGAGGAACTTACCTATAAATAAGAAAAATATAAGTAAACCTAATTCCCGCATTGAGGCTTTCAGAGTTCGTCCTAAAATTTGTAAACCCTTCGAATGCCTAGATAACTTAAATATTCGAAATACTCGAACTAATCGTATCACTCGTAATATTGCCAAGGACATAGCCTGATTCGATGACTTGTCCTAAAAAATTATAATCGGTATGGTATGTTTTCAATAAGCGAATATACTTTTTGGAATAATTTTTAATTATTGTTATTTTTTTTTGTTTTTAATTTTTTTTTTTGGTATGTTAATAAATATGTTTTAATATAGTATAAAATAAAGTATTCATTTATATATATGTATGTATTTGTTTTGTATAGTAAAATATATATGTATATGTGTATTTGAACAATCAATAACAAACATAAACAATAAATATATATATATATACGTAAATATATTTAGTAGATAGTAACAAATAGCGTTGGGTATTGGTTAGTAATTGGTTAGTAATATTTGAAAATGTTAGTCAAAAATTAAAGAAAAACTCATATTTTTAAATATTTTTTTTTTGCATATTTTTCTCCGTCTATGTATAGAGCAAGTTACAGTAATGAGTATTCATGTTTACATACAAGTATATTTGTGTATTTGTATATACGTGTAGGTATTCGCAAAAGCAAATGCACTTTTTTACATTAATTAATTTTGTATAAGCCGGAAAACACAACAAAAATTAAAACAAAATAAAAAAATGCTAATATTTTTTTTTGGTATTATTAATACGGTAAGCTGTTATATATTAAATATAACGAAGTAATCAAATATTGGAAAAAAAATTTTTTAAGTAGTTTTTCAAAGCAAACATTTTTTTTTTGCTTTTAAATAAAAATTTTTGTTTGAATAAAAATTTTTGTTTAAATAAAATTTTTTTTTAATAAATTTTTGCTTAAATAGAAAAATGTATCTTTTCGTTTAAATAAAAAAAAGCTTCTTAATAAATTGTTTTTAAAAAATAGCGCGAATTTTTAAATAAGAATAAAAAAATTGCGAAAAATCAAAATTTATTTTTTTTGTTTAAATAAAAAAAAAATATATTTTTGTTTAGATAAAAAAAATCTCATAGTTAATTGTTTCAAAAAATTTACGCGAATTTTTAAATTAGAAAAAAATAAAAATCGCGAAATATTTCAATTTGTTGTTTTTTTGTTTAAGTCAGAAAATATATATTTTTTTAATTAAAGAAATTTTTCTTTTTGTTTAAATAAAAAATTTATCTATTTGTTTAAATAAAGGAAATTATCTTTTTATTTAAATAAAAAATCTTCTTAGTAAATTGTTTAAAAAAAATGACGCAAATTTTCAAATTAGAGGAAAATAAAAATCACGAAAAAATTAAATTTGTTCTTGCTGCTCATGTAAAATTCACAATGTGGCCGCATATTTTTAAAACTAATTAATTAAATTCTTTTTTTTTTCCTTCAAAATATATTTCTTTTTGTGTGTCAAAAATGCGTTTCGATTTTAGTTATTTTTATTTTTTAAGTGTATTAATGTCATTAATATTGCCTCTTAGCGTTTTTAAATAATCTAATTTAAACATATTTTCAAGCAATAAATAATTCTCTAAGAATAATACTAATAATATAAAATAAAATATAAATAAATGAATAAATCGTGTATAGAGTGTACGAGAAAATTTCTCACACAAGAAAACGTACCTGTGGACTGACTGGCGCTTTTGGAAGATTTAACGTATCCTCCTCTTCGGCGACGACGGTCGCCAATGTTATAAAATACGGAATGATGGCGATTATGTCGATAACATTCATGACATCCCTGCAGAAATGTAACTTATTCGGACATGCGAGGAACCTTGAAAGCGGAGAGAATGTGAGAGTATGAGAGAGTGATGAAAAGAAAAAGAGCGATGTAATTAACAATATGTATAGAAAATTTAATAGTTTTTAGATAAATAAAATAAAATTATAAAAAAAATAAATAAAATGAAGTATTAAAAAATAAATAAAATTAAATAACGAAAAAAAAAAACAAAAAAAAATTTATTGAAAACTTAATAAAACTCGTGGAAAATTTGAATTTAATTGAAAATTAAAAAAAAATTTAATTGAAATATTGACAATAGATAATGCTCGGTGGAAAATTTGAAATTGAATTAAAAATTGCGAAAAATTTAAATTTGTTTTTTTGTTTAAATAAAAAAAATTATCTTTTTGTTTAAATAAAAAAAATTGTCTTTTTCTTAAAAAAAAAATTCTTAGTAAATTGTTTTAAAAAATTAAAAATAATTTTTAATTGAAATATTGAAAATTAATAATACTCGGGGGAAAATTTGAAATTGAATAATTGATTAATGAAATTAACAACGAAAAATTAAGTATACACTCGAAAAAAAAATCAATCAATCAAGAAAATGTTTGGTGAAATCGAATGACGATTTAAAAAATGTATTAAAAATCAAAGGGGTGATAAAATATGTAGTAGGGACAAGAACGTTTACAATTTTTGCAATAACAGAGGTTAAAGTTAAAAAGTTAAGAATGAAAAACATATCTCAAAATTAGAAAAATATTCTATTTCTAATTATCTATTTTTAAAAAATATCTATTTTTAAAGTTAATGTTGGTATTTTGCTTAGAAATTTCATAAAACAGGTTGATTTCAAATATTTTTTAGTTGCTACAAATTTTTCGTATTTATACGTATTTTTTTTTGAAATAATTTCCCTTTAAATTTTTACTTACCTGACTGTGAGTTCAAATGTAAACCAAATAATACATAACGTTTCTATAAGGAAGAAAGGATCTGTGATGTCAGGCACCTCATCTTCCTCGATTTTTGTGCCATTTGTTGTTGTATTGAACACCTGTTGAAATTCGGGGGAATGTTACATAAAATTAATAAATATGTAAAAAAGAATTTTTAATATATATGTACATGTATATAGTTGTATAAACATATATTTAGTATTGAGGCATTTACAATTCTGTGGATTATAGTGATTGAATAAATGAAAAAAGTGTATGCATTTATGGAATATTTGAAATGTACTATTGCATACAGCAAGATATACTATGAAGTCAAACTTTGCTTGTTAAAGCTTTGGCTGAGCTTTTGACTAAGCTTTGACCGATATTTTGTTAAGCTTTTACATGGAGAAGTTAGCGGGAGATAAAACTATTTAACCTTAAAAGGAACTTCAAAAGCTATGTGATTTATAATCGGTAAAGCGTTTTTTTTAAAGAAATTTTAAAGAAAAGTTCTCTCATCAATGAATTACGTAAAAAAATATTTGTATCTTTGCATAATGGATATTTAAATTTCTCCCACCGTATCGTTTTTGAGAGCATTTTTAAACGCTATAAATTTCCTAATCACAGTCTAGTACTAGTATGGGTCAAATGAACCTTTTGCCAAGTCAATTTATGCTACAAATAGTAAGTTTCGAGCTTTTTTTGATAATTTGGTTTCAACTCTTTCAGTTAAAGCTTTCTAAACTTGAATAAACTCTTGCAAGCTCTACGTGTCAGTTAGCTTACTATGTCGAAAAAGCTGTATACTTTTATTAGCGTAATTTTCAATATTATCTGCTATGATTCAAAAATAAAAAATCGTATGACATATACTTTTTACAACTTAATGTCAAAAGAATAAATGCTTTCTAGGCAACTGTTTTTTTTTTAGATATACACAATAGTTTACAGTTACATGTATATTTACTGGTTAATATTAATATAAATATTTATTCATGTTTTTTTTTTAATATTTTAACACAAAGCTCATTTAGCTATAAACAATACATTGAGAGTTTAACTGGTTTGAGCTTTTAAGGCGGGAAGAGTAAAGCAATTAAATACGGAAATATTATATTTATATCTTTTGTGAATATAATGCTTTTCTGAGAGCTTACGTGAAGCTTCCAAAGCAACTATGAAAGTAGTGATAAAAGCTTATTTTTGTTTTTAGTACGAAGCTACTTGAGAAATTAAATTTCGAGAGTAGAAATAAAAGCACATTTGTATATCGTGAAGCATTTTATGCGCTATTTAAGAAAACTAATCGTGAATATATGCAGAGCCCAAAGAGCTTTCATAAAACTTTCGCTTATCTCGATGGAAAATGTGATTTAATTTCATATGGCATATATCTACAAAAATTTTTGGTAATAATTTATTTATTTCTAAAACTCAAACCACTATGCACTCTCAACTCTTTCGCTGGCATTACATTTCAGGCTTAATAGGATTTTTATCACAAATTATATAAATTTTTATTAGGCTTTGGTTGGAGCATACATAGTTACAACACCAAACATTTAATAATAAAAAATTTAAAATATTATTTTTATATTGAAAAATTATCCAACCCGATTTTTAAGCTTTTCGTATTCAAGAAATTTGACATCAAGTTGCAAAAATGTGCGCAGAAAGCAGTAAAAAAAATTAAAAATTTTATTATGTTACTAAAAGAGTTTTATGTTTATGTTTAAAACAAAAAATAAACATGTAAAATGTAGTTATAAAAGTAAAAATATGAAATGAATTGGAAATTTTTGAGCTTTTGAGCTTTTCACATTACACAAAAGGAAGCTGTCAACATTGAATCAAAGTTTTTCTTTACTAAATTTTCCGAGTGAATTTTAGTTAATAAGCTGAAAGTTAATGGAAACAGTTTTACTTCTTCTTCTTCCGCTGCTTTGCTGCTGTAAGCAATATTAAAGTTTGTTTGGGATTAAAAGCTTTTAATTTTTATGCCTTAAAATATTTAAATTTTAATTTATATTTTCATTTTTTTCACAAAATTAAATTAATTATCACCGGCTTTTAATAAGATATGTGCAGCTTTTAAAGTTTTCTAAATTTTTTTCGTACTATCTATTGTAAAGACATAAAGTGTGTTATTAAAGCTTTACTTCCTATTCAAGAAAGAAATAAATGCGCGAAAGCTCATACGCTCAAAGCTCAAAGCACTTAATAGAAAATTAACATTTTCACTCACCTTGTAATGCTTAAATTCGGGTAATGTTTCTAGACAAAATATAACAATTGATAGCAATATAACAAATACACTAATTATGGCTACAACTCTGGCGGCTTGCGAACTTTCCGGATACTCGAAGAGTAACCAGACTTTTCTTTGATTCTCATTCTCCGGCAATGGTCTTTCTTCTTCTTTAATAAAGCCTTCATCCTCTCTGTAGCAATTGGCATTGTTGTTGTTAATGAGGAAAAAAAATATCAAAATGATTAATTAATTAAATTATTATAGTTTGAAATGTTTATATGTATGTATATATATTTTTTTCTCTTAAAATTAAATATTAACCAATTTACAACAAATTTAAATACAAAATATTTTTCATGAACACTTTAACAAGTAAAGCATTTACTTTAATTTTTTAATTAAAAAAAATAACAACAATTCTACTTTTAGTTAAAAATAAACCAAAAGGAAGAGTTCAAAAATTATTATCTCCTTCGTTCGAATGCATGTGTGTTTTAGAGTAAATATATATTTATATTTTTACTTATCAAAAAATTAAAAAACATTCAAACTAAAATAAAATATTTAGGAACCACACAACAATTAAATCAGCGGCTATGTTGCCAAATTTCGTTCAAACGCTCAACGGTGTATACTCAGCAGCAGCAGCGGGTGTTTGTTTGGTTGCTTCATCGACTCGTATGGTTCGTGTCTTGGCTATAAATGGTTTGTTGCTATTGAAGCCGGTATGTGTGTATGTTTGTGTGTATGTATATGCGATAAAGCAAAACTATATGCCCAGCGTTGCATATTTCATATTATTTCAGCATGACTGTCTGTATTACTACATATGTACATATGTCGATATGCTGGCAGCTACTTACTCGTACATACATCTGTATGTGTAAATGCTGTGTATGGCGAATTGTGGATGTTTGGTTGGGTGTTTATGAAATTTGGTTTACTACTTTTTGTTTTTGTTTGGTGATCGTCGCACTTTAATTATTGAAATACGCATTTTTTTTCTACGTAAATTTTGTATTTTCGTGTTTTGCTTTTTACTTGCAGCGTTTTTTTTCGCATGCTTGTGCGTGTCACGGTACCGGCCACATACTCCCCCCATGCCGTATGCACAAAATTTTAAGCTGGTGGTCAAGTGATTAACGGTGTTATATTGCGGCAAATTTAAAAACAAAAATCATTTTTTTTTAATTTCTCTGCTGTTTTTTTCTTGTTTTGTTTTGCTTTTGCGCTTTTAATTTGTTTGTTGTTGCAGCACTCAATGAATTTCGCTTCTAACCGATTGTGTGTGGTTTTACTAATAATTTATATATACATTTTCATAATTATTTAGTAAATGGCATTAGAAAAACAAAAAAAAAAATATTTTTTATTTTAATTTCAAAACATTAATTAATAAATTTCAACAACAAATTTAAGTAACAACAACAGCAATAACACTAATAAATATTGATGTATATACATACAAAAGAAATTAAATATTGATTATGGGGGGAAGGGTTTCATAGAGTTCTTTTTTTCACTCCGTGGGTGCGCCCAGTTGGAATAGAATATTTTGCTAATCAATTAATTATAATAAAATTGATATTTTTTTGGATTATTTAAAAAGTGATCTCTATTAGATGGAAAAGAAATATTTATGTATGCATGTATGTGCCTAAAAAACTTCTCCATTGACACTCTACTTATTTTCTACAAGTTTTTTGCTTTGTGAGCTTTGGGTATTTTTAAAAGAGTCTGGAATACAAAAGTTATTTAAACGCAGACGAACGAGGTACCCAACAAGCTTTTTACGACCGCTGCCCTCGCCACGATGTCAGACTTGCGCTTGTCGACTTTAGTCTCAGGGTGAGTAATGAACAGCTCAGTCGAAAAATTCAACCTCCATGACGAGACATACTCAAAAGGGTTGAGGCTGGTCGATTTGGCTGGGACTCGAGTCATAGTTGTATGTAGTATTAGATGACAATACAAAGACACTCATCACGCTACTGGGTTGTCTTCAGATGAAACAGTTCACAAGCAGAACGGTCATGTTGTGATAGGTGGCTGACATGTCTCCAGTGTGCTTGACGTGCGACCCAACGTCGATTCGGACCATCAATAAGCACTAGGAAGGTTCGACTGCTACTCCTGCTTGTTGAAGACTCTCAACAGCAATTTACTATAAGGAAACTGTGCAAACGAAACAATTGGTTTTCGGAATGGTCAAAGGAAAAGCTGGCGCAATGGAAATCTGAGCCATTCGCTACCAACAACAGACAAGTTAACTGGTTTTCTTGTGGCTTCATAAATCTATTGCTGTAGAAAACCTGTAGAGCTGAAGAGAAAGGGCGCAATCTTCTGCAAGAGTACGCTGCAACTCGTGAGATACATCGATGGTATTGAGATCATTGGCGTCAAAATAATCGCTCGCGAGTTATGCTTGCTCCAGACTGTTGAGCTTTCTAACAGCTGTGACTTGATATATATATTCTGTTTGGCTTGCTATTTCATAATCCACATATTTACTTTGAAAAAACGTTACATCGCTCGCCAATATTCGGCCGACATAATCGCCCAGCAGAGCTGGTAATTTGAGAAACTATGGATCGATGGTCTCGTACAACATTACTCTAGTGAATCATATGCATGCTCAGAGACGCCGTACAGGGCGCACCGAAGACGGTGCCTGCTGCTGTGAATCAGAGCATCGAAGAAGACCCATATGAGTCCATCTGCCATCGCACCGGAGCTGTGCCTATATACTTTATGGAAGATTTTGCAAAAGGATCTTGATTTATGGGCTTAAAAAATTCAACTCGTGTAAGAATCGAAGTCGAACGACCATCAAGCACGTCGCATGTTTGGTGAGTAGAACCAAAAGGAAGATACCGACCGAAAGCTATTACCGTAGAAAACGATAAAGTTCACTTTTGGTTGAATGCGTAAGTTAATAAACGAAATTGTCACATTTGGAGGGATGGTATTCCATGAGCTATCATGGAGATGCCCTTTTCTATTCCTTCGAAAAAGGAATATTTTTCGCGGGCTTCCCTCAACTTATATTCAACCAATTGGCCTACTGAGTATACTATTCGCAACACTATAACCCATCCTAGCAGTGAAAAAAATATAGCGGCCGTCGCTGAAAGTGTCCACGAGCGCGGAGATTCGATTCGGCGAAGTTTGCAGCAACACGGACTGACTTATGGGGCGACTTAATTTGAAAGCATACATAATACAGCTTGCGCTTACTGAAACCGATCATCTGATGCAAGCAAGATTGCTACGCTCTACGGAGTCTTCCAAGAAGATCTGAGGCTTCGAGTTAAATTTGTTTCAGCGATGAGGCTCATTTCCCTGAGACCATGGGTATGTAAATATGCCGAATAGCTGCATTTGGGACGAAGAATAACCTGAAGAGATTCAAAAGCTGTCATTTCATCCAGAAAAATCACGGTTTGGTGTGGTTTGTGGGCCGGTGGAATTATCAGTACATATTTTTTCAAAAATGATGCCATTTCATTTGAAATTTTTGTTTTCTTTTTCTTTTTAAGAAGGGAACCCCGAAATAGATAACGCTTTCGTTAATGGAGACCAGCAATGAAAATGGTTAATGAGTTTTTCTCGCCTCAACTGGGAGTTGTTGATGTGGACGACCTTTGGTTTCAAGCAAGACGGCGTTACATGTCTTACAGCCAATGAAATCAACAATTGATTGAAGAAAACTATTCGTGATTCCATTAAATCGCGTCGTGGGCTTGCGGCGTGATCCCCGCGCTGGACCGGATTATTTGGAGTGTGATATTCGGCGCATTATAGCTGACATATAAGGTTCTTTCGAGAGTTTTGAGTGAAATACTAAAGTCCACCGTCTGAAAACTGATTGGACCTTATCAGTGTGACTTTAGACCTGGTAAGTCAACTAGTGATCAGATATTCACCATGAGCCACATCTTGGAAAACTTATACGGCTGTGTAAGTTGACGCTAGACAACACCAGAAGCGCAGTCAGAATTGGGAAAGACCTATCCGAGCCGTTCGGCTTCAAACGAAGTTTCAGACAGGGTTATTCCTTGTCGTGCGATTTCTTCAATTTGATGCTGGAGAGAATAATAAGAGCTGCAGAGCTGAATAGAGAAGGTACAATCTTCTATAAGAGTATACAACTAGTGGCGTACGCCGATGATATTGACATTATTGGCCTCAACAACCGCGGTGTTGGTCAATGGGTCTAGTAGTGACGGAGGGTAAGACGAAATTCCTCCTCTCATCAAACAAACAGTCACCGCTCTCCCGTCCCGTCATAACTTTGAAGTCGTAGATATTTTCGTCAGTCTAGAAATCCAACGCAGAACTACTCTTGTCAACAGGTGCTACTTTGGACTGAGTAGACACTTGAAAAGTAAAGTCCTCTCCCGACGAAACCAAAACCTAGAAGTCGCTCACTATACCTGTCCTACTATATGGCGTGGACGATGTCAACAGCTGATGAGTTGGCTTTGGGAGTCTTCAAGGGCAAAGTTTTGCGAACGATTTATGGTTCTTTGCGCATTGGCAACGGCGAATGCCGCAGGCGATGGAACGATGAGATGTACGAACTATACGATGATGTTGACATAGTTCAGCGAATGAAAAGACAGCGGCTACGCTGGCTAGGTCATGTCGGCTGAATGGATGAAAGCACTCCAGCTTTGAAAGTATTCGATGCAGTACCGGCCGGTGGAAACACAGAAAGAGGAGGGCCTCTAAACCATTGGAAAAATAAGGTGGAGAGTGACCTGGCCTCACTTGGTATTGGCGCGAAACAGCGAAAGGGAGAGGTGAATGGCGCGCTATAATTGTTTCGGCTATAATCACGTAAGCAGTGCCAACGGCTCTAAAGAAGAGAAAGAAAACTGGCATACAGCAAGTTGTCAAAAATCGCATCTCTTCACTGGAATTTAGTGGAATCAGCCGCGGCGATCACTTGATGTTTTCAATTATTATGGCTTATCTTTATAATAAAACTATATTCGTGGTTCTAGCATTAAAAAATATGCGTTTTATTTCTCTTTGAAAACCGCATGTCTAAAAAAGCATCGAGCGTGATTTTTCTATGCAAATTGCTTCCATGATTTCTAATACCTTAGATTGGCTGATGTGGTGAGTTTGGCATTCCGTGCGTACAGTGGAGATTCAAAGTGCAAATTATTATTATTTTTGTATTGAGCGTAATTTTGGTATTTTATGAAACTATCGTTAGGTATATTTTTCAAAATGGAAATTTCTTATATACACGTATATATATATATAAATACAACTACCAGGCAATGCATTGTGCATTTGAGTGCCTTTTTAGTAAATATGTATATATGAACGTGAGGAGGCCCGTATATTAACAGAAATATGAAATAACAATTAAATATATATATATATATATATAATATTTTAAAAGTTTTTTGTGACTTTGATAACTAAACAACTAAACTTTTATTACCAAAAGAGCATGCAGTTTGATTTTGCCTACTTTTTCCAACTGGGCTTTAAATAAAAAATAAAAAATATAATTACATAGACTAGTGTTAGTGTTAAGGCTTGTTAATTGTTTTTTTTCGGAAACAAATAACAGTGTCTTGAGCTGTACATTTATTGTGTATACAATACTACATTGAAAACGTTTATTTTTCTTATTTTTTTTTTATTTATAAAAAACATTCAGCAATAACATTCCAATTAAAACTACGCAACAGCTTGGTAACCAATTATTTATGCATATCATATTATTATTATTATTATATTTTTCATTTTAATGATAATGTTGATACTTTGATATGTTGATATGTTGATATTTTGCCCAAATATTTTTGCATTTTGCATGTGGTAATTTTCTTACCTGAATTTATTAATTGCTTGATCACCTAATTCATAAAATTTTATTTCTTCACTAAATACGTCTAAAGGGACATTGACCGGTCTCCGCAGTCGACCACCTAAATGAGGGAGTTTTTCATTTATTCATAGTTAAGGAAATCAAAAAAAAAAAGAAAATAATAATTAAACAAATAATAATATTATGTAAAAAAATGTGAATTTTTCGTACAAAAAAAAAAACAATTTGATCAAGTGCAAGTTTAGGATTGAAAAAAAAATAAAAAATATATTGAAAACAACACATTACATTGATATATATGCAAGTATGATTGTTGTTGTTATATGTTGAATATATGTTGGCGCAAATGATTGTATATTGTCAGATGAAGAGGGGTAAAAGAGAAGAGCAAAAATTTATTTGTTAATATCTGTTATTGAAAACTTATTTTTTTTAACAGAAACTAGACTTCAGTTAAGGAATATGAAAATTTATTTTTAAAATATTTAACAAAATTTCTAATATTTTAATATATTTATCTATAAAGTATAATATTATATTTTTTTTTATATATAATTTTTTATTAATTTAAAAAGCATATAACTACGGAGCTAAGCAAGTACTTACCACTTTGATAATAGTATAAAATTGCATCGAAGCTCGGCCGACTACGGTCAAAAAAATATTCATTTCTAAGCGGGTCAAAGTACCGTAATCGCCGAGCTGGATCCCCCAGCAGTGTGTCCGGAAATTGATTTAACGTTCGTAATTGTGTTTCGAACCTTAACCCGCTTACCTGTAAAGAGATTACCCAGTAGAGGGCGTAAAGCAGAAACGGAAACAAAATCGAAATTCAAGAAGAAGAGTAAAGAGTAAGAAAATTAATTATTTACTTTTTAACATTTATTGCTAATGTTTTGTTTTTTAATTTTAATTTTTTCTTTATTTTTATTTTTTTTTGTTTAAAGAAAATTATTAAATAGAAAAAAAATTGTTCTCTTTCAAGTGGGAAAATCAGATTATAATGACTTAAAAAGTTTATAAAAATATAATGTTTAATTAATTTAATTTATATAATAAGGCAAAGAAAGATTATTTAACAATAAGGATAACCTTATACCTGCTGAAGACACTAGACACCTATAAGAAATCAAGAAACTGCACTACACTCACTCACCCTTAAGATAAAAAGAGCTTTAAGGAACTTTCTGCACATAAATGAAGCGCACTAAATAATGTGACCAATGATACATTCAATCGTGTATAGTCAGTCGGTTGAATTAGTCTGTCCATTATGGGCAAAAACTCTTCTGAGCTGCTTGAAAATGAATGCGGAACCGAACGAAACCAGACTGCTTAGTCTAGTATTCAAAGGAACCACCCCGGCGGGTGTACTCTGACCATTTCCTGGTGCTTAATCGCAGTAAATGAGTTTATGTAAAAAATTGGATGGATTGGTAAGCTGATTGCATATATAAAGACGGCATAGCTGCACTGGTGACGAACAAGTGCCCAAACAGAATTGCTAAGTTGAGGGAGAAATCTCTTAAAATCATAGACCGATGGCGATACCAGCTACCTTAGAGATAAATTACAACGGTTATGCTATTTTTTATAAGAAGTTGCAATATTCCGCTATGAAAATCCTGCGGCTCAACGGATGAGAAGGTTAAAAATATAAGTAATGGTGGAAGATTTAAAGTTTAATGTGCGCTTGTGACCTAACATCGCATCTTTGGTGATCGTACTCTGAGGCTTTGGTATGGAGTGCTAAGGACTTCAACCAGCCACCAATCAATATTTCAATGCTTGCTATTGCAAGACAATCAGTGGTAAGATTTATGGCGTTCAGTGAGTTTTCTGACTGAGAGTACATACCCACTCGCTTTGTTCGAAAAAAAGGTTTCTTACCACAGTAAAAGAGGCCGGAGGGCGCTGAAATTCCTACATGACCATGGGTGCCGGAATATAATGCATCAGTCCCCACGCGGAGGTGTTCGCGTTACGTCAACCGTGCTACACGTAAAAATACCTTAGAATCAGAGAGAAGAAGATAAGGTTGCTGGAGGTGACTACATAAAGACGCTCCATTTCGCTTTGAATGAAATGAAATAGTTTATGAGATTGCTGAAAACGGTTACCAAACCAGTATAGAAAATATGAAATTTTCAAATGATCTGGAAGAAGCATCAGGTTGAAAAGGTACGCCTCAACACCTGCAAGGCAACGGAAGAAAATATTTCAGGTTTTTCCACATGCGGTCTCGATCTTGGTTGTTGGCCTAATGACAGGTCAATGGTACGGTAACAATGACACATGTAAGAAGTGCATGAAGAAAGGCTTTACCTACAATTCGTCTCTAATATCTGGCAGCAGTTCAAATCAAGTACTATATGAAGCAACAAACGTGGATAAAAAGGCTCTCTTAAGCTTCGCAAAAGACACTGAAATCCTGCTCGAATTAAACTAAGCCTCCATCTGGCTATACACAAGACTGGTAGACCTAACCTACATTTTTATTATTTTCGTAATGCACTTAAATATTGGAAAGGAACTATTTTGAAGATATCTAAACTGTGAATATTTCTTAAATTCATTTAATTTTAAACTGCATTGAATTAATTATTTTTATGTACCGTAATTGTTAATAAATTCAGTTGATAATTTTTATTAGTTATTAGCACACAATTTGTTTACTTAAAACAAGGAAATGATGAATTTATGTCTATCAAACATCAGTTTATAAATAAAAGATTTTAATATAATTTTTTCTTAAACTAACTTAAATAAACAGCTGTTAGTGGGCTCTTCTGAAAGAGAAATTTGTAATTTTAAATTGGGAATTAAAAGCACCAAGAGTGCATTAATCTACAATAAATATTTAATTTAAAAATTATTTTTACTAATTAATTTATTTTAAAAAAAAATCCACTAATTTAATGAAAAAAATGTATTATTTACTATTCTAAAATTTTAAATTAATTCATTTTTTTTATGTAACCTTGACAAATAATTTGAGTTTAATTGTTTAAAGCATTTACTTTTTGCTGTATAAGAAATTAGATTTTATTTTAAATTTAAACAAAACTATTAACTAATTATTAATTAACTATTATTATTATATGTTTTAATTAATTTGTTAATGAATTTTTTAATATTGTTCAATCAAATCAATAAACATTAATTAAATTCATGAATAAACACTGAACAATCATTAAATTAAATTATTAATATTAAATATTAAATTTATCAGCTATTTATTATTTATTTTGGCTTAAATTGCTGAATAAGATTTTTCCATTTTTAATTTTGCAAAATGTTTTTAAATGCGATTTCCATATATTTTACTTACATTTATAACGACTCTCTCGCAAAAATCATGATCATGAGGAATGGGTTCAAAGTGTTGTGGCCCCCCACCATACCCATGACCTGCCCCCCCTTCTTCGTCTTGACTGCTTAATTTGGGTAAAGACCTGAAAGGAGAAAAAGAGTAGCAAAAAAAATGTTAAAAAAACCAGCCAAATTAAATTTAGAAATTAAAAAAAAAATAATTAAAAAGATATATGAAAATATATATGTATACTTAACATATTTGATAATAAATAAAGTAAAATAATTTATTTTCTTAAAATATTTACATAACTTTTAACTGTTTTTTTTCTTAAATTGAATTCACTTCGAAATTCAGCTCCATGCATTGTTCTTCTTCTTCTTCTTATTGTTATTACTTGTTAAGGAAAACTACTTACTTACTTTACTTTTTCACAAGTTCGCTGATTTTTATCTGACCTCTTACGGTTTGTAATGAGTAAGTATGTATGCACAGCAGTTGCTGGCAAGAATTCAAGAGTTGTTTGCCAAGTGGTGATTTGCTCAGATTTAACACTTCAATAAATGTATAATTAAGCGGAAATTTTTATGAACATGCAGAAAGTGTAATTGAAAAGACTTTTTTCCACTATAATTTGAAACATATACACACAAACGTATGTATGTAAGCATATCATATACGGGTGTGCAAGAGCATTTGGCAAATGTTAGCTATTGTTGGAGATATTATCGCTTTGATTGTAACTGAAAAATTGCTTCAATTTTTGGCTTAGCGGCCAAAGTTGTGACTGCAGTCATGACGGTATATATGTACATAGACACGTATATATATATTTGATATTACAACCAAAAAAGACTATAGACAGGTGACGGAGTCCGATAATGTAAACTTTTTTATGTAATTATAGGCTAAAGTAGAAAGTAAATATAAGCTGAATAGGTAAGTATTCCAAACCAAAATCGACAAGCAAAAATTATATTTTTGTACTAAAATTTGTAAAAACTTTCAAAAAACAGCGACGGCGTACGATAGTAACACCAAATTGCCAGGCAATGCTACAGTGGCACTTTTAACCAATGTTTGAAGAAGTTTTATTTATATTATCGGACAGCTAGATGCCCAAGAAAAATGAATTGACAAAGAGAGAAAGAGAAAATAATATATCTCTATTCCTTATTCCGTTTTTTCTTTCCTTATCCTGTCTGTTATCTATTATCTATTATCTATTATCTATTATCTATTATCTATTATCTATTCTCTATTATCTATTATCTATTATCTATTATCTATTATCTATTATCTATTATCTATTATCTATTATCTATTATCTATTATCTATTATCTATTATCTATTATCTGTTATCTATTATCTATTATCTATTATCTGTTATCTATTATCTGTTATCTATTATCTGTTATCTATTATCTATTATCTATTATTATTAAGATACTTTGAACCATGATTAATTTCCTCTTTTTGAATGAATGTCAATATAAATTTCCAAAACTTTTCCATCAATAAACACCTATTTATCTACTTTCGGAAAACCTCAAATTATGAACTCATCAACCTCGAAAGCATACTAATTTATTGAGTTATGTGCTTATGTATGCGCAAATGGATGATTTAAATCAAAAAGCCGCATAACTTGATACACATGAGCACTCTCATTCATACATAAATACATATTTACATACATACATTTGCACATCTAGATGTGTGTACAATCATCCATAAATAAATAACCTTCTTAAATCGTTCAGTTACGATCAAGGCGGCTGTGAAAACTAATCCAATATTTGCCATCAAATTACTTTGAAGGGCAACGAAGATGACGAGTTTATGAAGTAGAAACGAAGATGGAAGAGAGGCGAAGGAAGAACAAGCAGCACAAAGTGAACAATAACAACACCAACAATATACACGTAGATATATGTATATAATATTATGTGTGTATGTATTTAAACGCGTTGAAAACATCTTATTAAAAAGCGCTATTTGCCAAGCGCCGGGCTGGTTAAGAAGTAGTAGATGAGGAGCACAAAGCGCTGCAGCCGACAGTGCACATGCATTGCTATAGCAACGCTATAAGTGTATCTGTGTGTGTGTTTGTAAGCACACACTTGTATAGGCAAATGCACACATATTATATAAGCCCCTAGCAACTTATAAGCAGCTCCTTCAAATAGTCAAGTCGAACGAAATTATGTGAGGCTTGCACTTTCAAGGCTCTCACCTCCTTATGGCGCTCCATCACACACCTCTGCCACACTCCACATCCAACATACATACATACATATGTATATATACTCGTATGTACGTACATTCACCGAAGTTAGAAGGCTCTGAGTGACGACGACAACAACAGCAGGCTTTTTTTTATTTGTTACCTATCAGCCTTGAGCGAATGCCACAAAGGCACGAGAAGATGAAGAAGATGATGATGGGAAGAAAAAGAGGAAAACAAAAATAAATAAATTTAATATTATTTGTATGGAATGTTAACAACAAACATAAAAGATTTGCTAAATCAAATTTGCACACAAATGCAACTGAATTTTGCATTCATCCATCAGACTGCTCGCTCATCAACAGCTCTGTCGTCGTCGTCGTTGTTGCCGTCGTCGTTGCCGTCGTCGTTGCCGTCGCCGTTGCTCCATCGTGCCATCCCGTTAATGTCACTTCTTGTCGTTTAGCAATTGAAGAAAACTTCAATGAAATTAAATGAAACAAACAAACCAATTCTGTAGGGCACATGCAGACGAGTGAGGAAGGCGAGGTATTGAGAGAAAAACAACGGCGACACGAATAATGTATGCAAGGGAAATGACGTCAGCAGCCGAGAAAAGTGCATAGACATGATGGCAGCAATGACATTATTGTCTAAGCGAAAGTCAACTGTGACGCCGGCTTTAAGGACCTGATGACAGTGCACACAAATAAATTTACAGGCAATGGTGTTTTTTGCAGGAAAGTACCAATTTAATATATGTATATATATATATTAAATATATATTGAACACAGATTGAAGGTGATATAATTTTATTAAATTAAGATTTATTTTTGTATGAGAAAAATGACAGTCCACGCTCAGAGTTCCCTTGAATCTTGTGCTCAAAATATATTATTGACCGCACTACCAGCTGGTAGCACAAACAAAATTATCAAGCTACTTCGCCGCCGCAGATTCGGGTTCCAACATCGCCAGGGAATAACACTTCGTCATAGCAAAGAGACTCACCCAACTCTGAGTAGCTGGAAATGGATGCATGTAAGGGTTGGAAAGCTGAGTGCACTCCAAGAGCATTCTTTTACAACTCGATTCGAGAGACCTGTGGGAGATCTCAATGTATCGTAGAAACGTTTGGCTTACCAAAAGGTTGAAAGCGAGAATAAAAAGATCTGTATATTTTGCTCTGCGAGTGAAATATATCAAATGTTGAATAAGCAAGCAAATTATATTTTAAGAAGCATAAAAAGAAAAAGAAAACAGCTGATCGTTAGAGAAAGGTTTGAGAAAATTGTGGCGGTTTTAGGAATTTTCAAAATCATCTCTCCTTCCTTCGCGAGCGGGAGCTTGAGTTCCCAGTGTATTGCGTTCATAGAGAAAAAACCATCATTCGTAACCGAGGAATTGCTGATGAGTATGTAGAGACGGCGTAGATAATCTTTTTTTTGAACAAATTCCGTTCGGAAGTTTTTTCACTCAAAGATAAGCGAAGTTCAGGGCGGCCAAGTGAAGTAGATGATGACGATATCAAGGCTTTAATTGAATATAGTTGTCATGTAACTGAACGTGAGATTGGAGAGAAGTTAAGTATACCAAAATCAACCGTTCTTAAACATATACGACGCCTTGGACTGGTAAAAGAACTTGATTTTTGGATGCAACATAAATTGAAAGAAATTCATTTAAGAAGCCGCTTCAACCCCTCTGATATTGAGTTGCCCCAAAAGAACTCAACTCAGCTAACGTGATGTACTAACACCAAGGATTGCTCCAGCAGATGGTGAGAGAAATTAGTGGGTCTGGTTCCCAACACAACGCAGAGAGTCAATTACCAATTGATGATAATTAGCAAGCGCCAGAGAAAGATTTTGAGGAAAGTTTAAGTTTGTCTGTCAGTGTAAACAGTAAGAGGTTTCATTAGGTAAGTGTTGCTTAGGACAGTTAAGAAGAAGCAGAAGAAAATTATAAAACTTTTTTCAAATTTTTTTTTCGAATTAGAAATTCATGTGAGTATCAATTCATTAATTTTGAATAACGCTATTAATGAAATGTTCATTGCTTTCATAAGCACATGGATACACAATTACATACGAGTATGTAGACATTGCAATTTACATATTGAAAAACTACTGAAAATTCAATTAAAAATGCATTAAATACAAATTTGGAAAGCGCGTTGCTTTCAGTTTCCATGTCAATGGGTTTGTATAGTGTTTGCGATCCTTTTTTTTTTTTTTGAAAACTCAGCTATATTGCGCAGAGGGAGGCACATACATACACACATACATGGACTTTTTTGAACCATTTCATTTCCCTTGTGAATTGTTTAATGTCTTTTGCTTCAAGGATAATTAAAAAATACGCTTTTATTTGATTATTAATGGGGAAAACGTATGAAGGCATTTGGAAAAGTTACAGCTTTCGGAGATATATCAAAAATTTCGAATTTCGAAAATAATTTTCTATTGTGTATTTGAATTCAGTAACCTCAGCATGAATTATCAGAGAGACAAATATCATTTGCAGGTAGGAGTGGAGCAGAGATCTTGCTCTTCCTTTGCTTCTATGAGATTCAGAAGATCTGGTTAGTATAGCAGCTGTCTTGTGTTATCTACGGCGGTAGCCGAGTGGTTAGCATTGTGTTATGCCATTCGGAAGGTTAGGGCTTAAATCCCCGTTCGACTAACATCCAAAAGTCAAAGAAAATTAATTTAAATAAAAAATTAATCTAAATATCATCTTATATGCGATTTTAAGACTTAACCTATGACTGTGGATTGTGAGGTTCTCGATTTTGTGAATTAGGCAGAGCACACTTAAGTCCAGTCACCACCTTAATACATTCTGCTCACCAAGCTTGGTGAAATATTTCAAAAACTGAGCGATTAGTTTTCTTATGAGCAGACGGAC